GGACATTTAATAAACTTATTACATAGAACTTTAATAAAACTTTATAATATATTAAATATAACTTTACAATTTATTAAATAAAACTTTAATAGAACTTTACAATGTATTAAAGACTATTTTACTATTTATTAAATAAAATTTTAATAGAACTTTACAATTTATTTAAGACTACTTTTCTATTTATTAAATAAAACTTTACTACTTATTAAATAAACATTTTTTATCTTTTTATAATGTATTAAATAAAACTTTATTATTTCTTTACTATTTCTTTACAAATTTGAAAATACAATTTTGCGATATTGTTACGATCTCTTAGATGATTGTCTCAATATTAAGTTACTGAATACTGACGATCTATTTACCTATTTTGAGACTAAATTATGATGATATGAAACTATATCATGATCAAATTTTGACTAGTAGTTTCACGATAAATATTTGATTCAGATATGACTTCATTATGATTGAAAAGTTTCTGTAAAGTATGCCTATCCTGGTATGCAAAATATGCACCTAATGACTCTTGAAAACATTTTTCAGATAGTTTATTTGTCTCTAGATTTATAAGACCTTGATTATCTGGATTAATTTTGTTAGCGAGCTTTTTTGATATAGGAATATAAGATCCTTCAAGAGCTCAGCGAAGTATATATAACTCTATAAATATTATTTCTAATTGAAGAAGGATTTTACCTGATTCTTTTTTCAAATATCTCAATCGATTTTTACATCAGATTGAATTATATGCTTATCTATATATTGCTCAGAAAGAATTTTATGTTGTTGGTTTCTATGATATGGATGATAGTATAGTTTGCCTGATCTGAAAGATCATCTGATCCATTATATTTATAAGATATATATGTGACATATATGATCAATACTGATTTTATTTGATCCCTTCTATAAAACTCTTTTTTGAGAATACCTATAATTGCATCATGTGCTGATGCTATGATATGGGGCATATATAATGCATCTGCATATTCTTTCGAATTGTCTTGCTTTTTATTAAATGCATATGCTGGATTTTTACAGGAAAGAATAACCCCCTCCCATATAATCATACAATTAAGAAAGCTATATTGTCTTGCAGGATCATGCTTTCTTTCCAAAAATATTATATCATTATTAGGTGATTTCTTCTCTTTATAAATTCCTTTTGCTTTCTTATAAATTGACTGAAAATACTTTTCTTAGCATATTCCTTTTGCATTTCATATTCTTGTCTATGAGCTTGAGTTGAGGGACCAGGTTCAGCTTTGGAATCTTCTTTCTTCTTTTGACTAGAAGTCTTCACTAGTTTTAATCATTTCTTTCAGCACTAATACCTTTTCGATAAACATTTAGCAGATTCGGTCATGTGATTTAAGTCATGTGATTTGGCAAAAATTTGGCTTAAGTTACAAAAATCGATAGTAATTTGTTACATCACACATAATTTAGCATTATTTCAGCACTAATACCTTTTGGTAAACATTCAGCCGATTTGATCATGTGATTCAGAAAAAATTCGGCTTAAGTTACAAAAATTGATAGTAATTTGTTACATAATACATAATTTAGCATTATTTCAGCATTAAGAACTTTCGGTTATAATATTCAGCAAAATTTCAGTTAGACTCAAGATTTGGCAACAAATCGACTATATCTCATTAATTGAAATCTGTTGAGCCGATTTTTGCGAAAATTATAAAAACATTCTGAGAATAATCGTCCCAAAGAGAAGATACATTTGTTCCAAAAGAGACGATAGAAATCGTCTCAAAAGGAACGATATATTCATTCCCAAAAGAGACAATAGAAATCGTCTCAAAAGGAACGAACAATTGTCTCTAAAGAGATGATAGAAATTGTCTCAAAAGGAACGAATAATTGTCCTCAAAGAGATGATTTCTATCATTCCTAAAGGAACAAAATATCATTTTCAATTAGACGATAGAAATCGTCTCAAAAGGAACAAACAATCATCCCAAAGAGACGATAGAATTCATCTCAAAATGAACGAACAATCGTCTCAAAAGGAATGAACAATCATCCCCAAAGAGATGATAGAAATCGTCTCAAAAAGAATGAATAATTATCCTCAAAGAGATAATAGAAATCGTCCCTAAAAAAACGAAATATCATTCCCAAAGAGACGATAGAAATCATCTTAAAGGAACGAATAATCGTCTTCAAAGAGAAGATAGAAATCGTCCCTAAAGAAATGATACATCATTATTTTAAAAGAACGATGATTTTTTATCGTTTTTCAGAAAGATACATCATCGTTCCGAAAGAACGATATTTTACATCATTCTATTAGAATGATACTTCATCATTCCTTTAGAATGATTTTTTTATTGTTCTTAAGAAACAATAATTCGATCGTTCCTTTTGAACGATTTTCTATATTGTTCTTAATGAATGATCAAACTATCATTCCTTTCAAATGATTTTCAATATTGATCTTAAGGAACGATCAAACTATTGTTCTTTTCGAATAATTTTCAATATCATTCTTAAAAAACAATCAAACTATCATTTCTTTCGAACGATTTTCTATATCATTCTTAAGGAATGATCAAATTATCATTCCTTTCAAATGATTTTCAATATTGTTCTTAAGGAACGATCAAACTATCATTCCTTTCGAATGATTTCTATATTGTTCTTAAGAACGATCAAACTATCATTCCTTTCGAATGATTTTCTATCTCATTCTTAAGAAACAATTGAATATCGTTCCTTTCAAATGATTTTATTATTGTTCAGTTGATTTTGCAATTAGATGATACAAAATCATCCATTTGTAACATTTATAATAAATATTCTAAATTTTGGATTAACTGAAATTTTAGTTTAGTTTACAGTATAAAACTGATAATCTTTCGGAATATTCCGAAAAAATTCATTTCTTTATTTTTTTTTTTTAGGCGATTTTTTGGGCAGAAATTTAACCTTTTCCTTTCTTTTTTCTTGTTTTTTTAGGAAATTCTGTTTTCTTTATTTTTTCTTTACTTTTTTTTAGGAATACATTAAGGTAAGCCTTTTGCAAGTGGTTTTTAGTGGGTTTTTAACTGTTTTCTTTATTTTTTCTTATCTTTAATAAATCAAATGTATCTTTTTTAAATAAAATATAATACAATATATATTCTTTTTGAGTAATTTATTATGTAATAATAAAATAAATTATAAATCATAAATAAACAAAAAATGAGTTTTTATTAGTTTCGATTTTTTAATTGATTTTTGCTGATTGTTGACCTATTTTAAGCTGATTTATGCCGAATTTTGACCAATTTTTAACATAAATGCTGATTGATAGCCGATTTTCTATTTATTTAAAGTGCTGATTTTTTAGTAATGATCGGTAGAATTAGACTATATTTTGGCTAACTTTCGGCACTTTAAGTGTAACAAATTGTATTATTTTGCCTAATGATATATTAAATAACCACCAATCGTAATGTCGAATGATTTTTTTGTGTGACATGGAAATAGGCAACTACAGTTATACTAAAAATGCTGATTGTTTTGGCAATAATCGGCTATATTTCAGCCAATATTTGGCATTTTAAAAAAGTGACGAAATGGATTATTTCGACTAGTGTTGACAACTCCATTTGTATGAAATAAGATTTCAATAAAGTTTCATCATTGCCAAAAAATGAGTAGTTATTACTCACAAAGAATATTGTGGCTGCTGAAGATGTAATTGTTAATTAAAGAGTATCAATTAGAATATTTATCATCTATTGAGGTGATTAGAGGATCGATATTATATCAGTTGTAATAACGAGTCTATTATGAAGTGGAGAAGATTTGCATTTCTGACGAACAATAATACCTAAAAAATTTTCTTTATGCATAACTAATGAACATCTTGGAATCCAGAAGTCATTTAAAATTCTAGTATAAATGTTATTGAGTAAAATAGAGAGTAGAAGTGAAGATTTTTTCTTGCATTAAATAATATTGAAAATTTGATGGAATAACGAATGTGAAATGAAACCTTTAATAAAGTCAATAAAGTAAAATTAGTATGTGAGAATGAGATATCATAATAATTAGAAGGGAAAATAATGTTATAGATGATTTCATCAAGATTAACAGAAAATATTTTAGAGTATTATTTCAAAAGTGAAATAAATTGTAATTGAATATCGATTACAATTGATTTTGTTTTTTCTATAACAGATAAGCAAAGCCATAGGTGATTAAAGGTTTCTGATTCTTGATTACATATATAACATAAAGTAAAGTTACGATAAAGGTGAGGATTGCGTATGTGTAAGAATTATAGAGTAGGAAATTGTTCGAGCATAAACGAGATTTGCGATAAGAAGAAGTAAAGATAGTAATAGATGTGGATTCGTCATCAGAAAGATGAGAAAAGGTGTTAGGCCAGTTTATATCTAGTTTGCAGCATTTAGTATTTCTTTTTAAAAAATAGATTGCCATAAATCCACGAGTGTGTAATGTTAGACGAAGAAAATGTCATAAGTAACATTGAATTGGAATATTATTAAATAAAGGTAAATAATTAAACTGAGGAATATGAGTTTTGTTAAGGATGATAGAGGGTTTATAATGAGTTAAATTAGCTAATTTATCAACTTTGATGTTATAAGGGTTTTTTGAATGAGCTAAGACTTTATGTAAAATAAGGTAATATTATTAGATGAGGTAATATCAAACAAGGTTAACTATAATAAAAAATTATCTATTTTGAATATTTCTAAAAGTAAATTATTAAAGAGAATGTGATTATGTGTTAAAATAGCGGTAGAACTATCTATATATATAGTGATTGTTGATGAAGAAGGAGAGGATATAAGTGCATAAATGATAGCAATCAGTTTAGCATGATTAGAAGAGGGCCATGGTGAGATAAATAAAGATTGAAAAGAGATTGTAGAATCATCTGTTAATAGCCAAGTAATGCTCATAGGTTGTGAAGAAGAGAGGAAAAGAAAAGAACCATCAGTATAGAAAGTAAGGTTGGACTTGTGTCAGAGTAAATTATAAGTATGTAATAATATATCAAATTGTATACCAGGTTTAATATACTTGGAGAGTAGAAGAGGTATTGGAATATTTTGAGAAGAAGAGTGTAAAATTAAAAGGGTAGAGATGTGTGATATATTTAAAGATTCATAATGAAGTTTAGCTTAATTTTTGATAAGAAATGTGAAACAGTTTATATTATAAAATCCTGAGTAACTATCTTTAATGGTTTTGGGAAGAGAAATAAGAGTGCTAAAATAATATTTATTTATGCAAGTAGGAAAAAGGAAATACGTTTAGAAAAATGAGAAAAATGCTGTGAGTAGTATGTTTCATATAGTGAACATCTTTGACATTGAACAATAGTATTTTGTAAATTAGAAGGTAAAATTGTTGATGATTGAAAAGAAAAGTCATTGATCCAATGTTGAATTATAGCATAGTGATCAAAAATTGCTATAATTTAACCATATATAGTTTGTTGATAGTTATTATTCCAAACAGCGATCCATTTGGGTGATTTGTTATCCAGTTTAAAAGGTGAAGAAGTGATATCATAACGAAGAAATATATAAGCTTTATAACAAAATTAAGGTTTTAATCTTTGTAAAATAGTAGGATTAGAAAGAACAAAACATTCTAGTTTCTTAAACCATCTAAGTATATTTGAATGGATACCATAATATAAAAGCCGGCAGTCTGCTAATAAAATTAAATATTGTCTACAAGGACTTATGAGTTGTTCTAAATATATAACTGAAGATTTGCATAATAAATAAATATCTTGAAGAAGAAAAAAGTAAGCACATAAGGTAGTGATAGATGTAATTTCACTGAGAATGTGGTTATGAAGATGTGATGCAACATTGAATGAAAGTTTGAATTCTTTAATTATAGAAAGAGTATTTGATATATGATTATTAAATCGTGTAGTAGTAGTGAATAGCCAAAAAAGAAGAGAAGGATCAGATAACCAATAATGGGTTTAAATTTCTTTAAGTCTGATGGTTGTAGTTAAACTCATAATAGCTTTATCATTTAATTAAACTGAGAGATTGGTAGTCATAAATTGGAGTTGATTTTCATAAAGATCACGACATTTGTAAAGAAACCTGTTGAATAAAATGGAATTGGATGTATTTGAAGGAAGATAAAGTTTGTGTTTAAATAATAATTTAAAAGGGTTAGAAAGGTTAGAACATTCTTTTTTTGAAAGAAAGTTTAATTGACCTCTATATTCAATGCGAGAAATTATAACTATATTAAAAATATATAATAAAATTTTATCAGTTAGGTGTTTTTTATTTTATAATAGAACAATCAGTGGTAATTTCAGTTTTGATTTGATTGAATACAAAAGATCTTTTGCAATTTAAATTAAGCCAGACACCTAAAAATCTAACAGATTCAGTATTTGAAGTAAAAGAAATAAGGATAATTTTGTTGTTGTATTGAAGGAGCACTTTATGAGAAGTTAAAGAATTAGGATCAGAGGGTGTAAAATATTGAATACAAGATGGATTGGCTGTAGTTATTAGGATTTCTTTATCTACATTTGTAAGTATTTTGTTTAAGTGATTAAAACTATCAGTAATTTTAAGAAGAGAATTTAAATTTTCTTGAAAGTTTGAGATTAATGTGATGTCATCCATATAGGCTATATTTGAGATTTCTAAAGATTATGTGATTGTATCAGGGGAACGAAGGTCGGGATGCTAACTATGGGACATTAAATAACCTAGACCATGTTGAGATTGTAGTTCACACATTAAAGGGTTATAATAGATATATCATAAAAGTGGAGAAATAATTTCTTTTTGATTAATGCTAATTAATACATCATAGTTATTTGTAGAGCTATAGTGAGTAAAGATACAGTTTTTGTGATTTAGGAACAAATTGATGATAAAAGTATAAAAGGAAGGAGGGAATTATAGACAGAGCATGACTTTATGTAATATGTGAACATTGACACAATTATATGCTTTGGATATATCTTGAAAATAAAGCCAAAGTTCTTTGTTTTCTTCTTTAGCAATATGAATAACATTATCTAAGATACGAATAAATTCAAAAGTGGATAAATGTGGAAGACCAACAAAGTTGTTACCTTTAAGAATTGAGTGATTGACAAAAATGTATAAGAGTCTATAATTAATGGCTTTAACAAGAGCTTTACGAATAGTATCTAAAAGTGTGATAGAACAGGTATTTTTGAGTTTGCATTTCCAATCTTTAGGTTTAGGTATTGGATAAATATCTGCTTCTTACTATACTAAAAGTATGTCATTTAAACATAAACAAGCATTAACAAAGTACCAAAGAGTTATATGCATTTTGTTGCCTAGATATTTGAGCATTTCATTTGAAATTCCAGACAAACCAGATGCTTTACCATCAGGAAGATCATGTAAAATGTTAGTCCATTCGTCTTTAGAAAGGAGATTCATCAGAGTATCATAAATAGAGGGATTAATATTTTCTTTAGAAGTGTATTAATATTGCCATTTTTCTGGGATCACTTTAGATTCGTGAAAGCTATTTAGTACTGCTAAATTTTGAAAATGATTAATAGCGGCTGATTTAATAGTATCAGGTTCAGTTAAAAGTCTAGTAGATGAGTCAAGAAGAGTAATGAGAATATGATCTAAAATGATCTTTCTTTTTTGATAATCTAAAACTGAATTAATAATTAAATTTTGATTAGATTTATAATTTAAGCAACGTTGACAAATGTATTTAATCATATTCTTTTGAATGTTTTTTTTCTTTTAAAGAAGCTTTTGTGATAAGTGATTTAGTGAGAAATTTAATAGAATGTCTAATGAGCATATAGTTATCATATTAAACAAAATATGGTAAGTTTGCTGTGATTATAACATTTGGCTATTGATACAGATCGAACGCTAATAATCGAGTACCTTGCCAATTGGTTACTATTTTTTGATTAGCAATCAATAGATAGAAATCAGTAAATACTACAATCAGGTATGAATCAGTTAATACCATAATTATAATTATTAGGTAAAATTATATAAATCAGTTTTCAATCCGATTTTATACTTATTTTACAAAATTTATAACTATATATTAGTTATCAATCGGTTTAATACCCGATTGATGATTATTGGTTCGCTACGATGATTTGTCATGAAATTTGTTATAATGATTTGTTAACAAATTTGTAATATCATGTATTACAGATTTCATTAAATGAATCTGGCTAATGATTCATTTTGGGTTTTCGTTAACGAATCTGTATAATAATTCATTACAGAATTCGTTAAACAATTCATTAATGAATCTGTAATAGATTCGTTTAAATGACTCATTACAGATTTTGTTAAACGAATTCTGTTAAATGATTCATTAACGAATCTGTAATATGATTCGTTTAAACAATTCACTTCAGTTTTTGTTAAATGAATTCCATTTAAACAATTTGTTACAGTTTTTGTTAAACTAATTCTGTTTAAATGATTCGTTAACGAATTAATGATACAATTCATTTAAATGATTTGTTTTAGTTTTCGTTAAACGAATTCTGTTTAAACGATTTGTTAACAAATCTATAATACAGATTCATTTAAACAATTCGTTACAGTTTCGTTAAATGATTCATTATACGAATTTCATTTAAATGAATCATAACAAATTGTAACGCAATTCATTACAATGAATTATAATGAATATCGTTAAACGATTCGTTATGAAATTTGTAATAACAAATTATAATGAATTTCATTATAACGATTTATTATACGAATTTTATTTAAATGAATCGTAATAAAATTTGTAATAACAATTTGTTAAGAATTTCATTAACAAATTAGAATGAATTCGTCAAATGATAACGAATTTCACATTTGAAGGCGATTATTATCATTTCAAAGACAAATTTTGCATTTGAAGGCGATTTTTATCATTTTGAAGACGAATTTCTCATTCAAAAGTGAAACTTCGTCAATTTGAAAAAGAATTTCATTTCAAAAGTGAAATTTTACCAATTTGAGATGAATTTTATCATTTGTAACAAAATATCGTATTCAATGATGATTTTTATTTTTCATTAATTTTTTATTATTATTTGTTTACTATTAATAATGCTTTTTTATCAGTTTTCACTAATATTTTTTTTTTTTTTTATAATAAACATTTTTTCTTTTGGATAAGGTACAGTATGTGGCTTTTCAGAATTATTTTTCAGCTTTTTACTTATTTTTTTACCAAACCTTTTTTCTTTTGAATAAGTTAAGTAGCTTTTTTATGATGGGTTTCAGATTTTTAGGAGTGGATTTTCTTACTTATTGACTAAGATATGTTACAAATTAGGACTCTTTTTTTGTTGTTTTTTGCATTTTTACTATTTTTTTTTCTTTTTTAATAGAAGTGAACTTTTTGGCTATTGGTTAAGATAAGTCTACAAATCAGGATAGTAATTTTTTCAGATTTTTATTAATTTTGTTTCTTTTTTTTATTAGGAGTGGATTTTTCTTTCTTATTGCTAAGGCATGTTATAAATCAAAACTCTTTTTTTGTTGTTTTTTGGGATTTTTACTATTTTTTTTATATTTTTTATTAGGAGTGGATTTTTCTTGCTTATTGGCTAATGTATGTTACAAATCAGAATTTTTTTGTTATTTTTTGGATTTTTACTATTTTTTTTAGTAAAAGTGGATTTTTTTGCTATTGGTTAAGGTAAGTTTACAAATCAGGATGGTAGTTTTTTCAGATTTTTACTAATTTTTCTTTTTTTAATAGAAGTAGACTTTTCTTGCTTATTGGCTAAGGTAAGTTTACAAATCGGAACTCTTTTGATAATGTTTTTTCAGGTTTTTACTAATTTTTTTCTTTCTTTAATAAGAGTGATTTTTTTTATTAAATATAGCAAATAATTAAATTTAATAAATTTGTAACAATTGAAAGCTTATTATTTATAAATGTATTTTTCTTATAATTAAAGTATTATATTAATATAAATCATATCAATAATAAAATTCTTTTTATTGTAATTAATCAGGATTACTTATTTGTATAAATAAACAATTATAAAATTACCTGTATTATAAAAATTTAATAAAATTTTACCAATCGGGATATGCTATTCATATAATAAATAATAATAAGAATATCTCTATTGATAACTTAGAAATAATCTGATTAGAAACTGGATGCTAATAAATTGATATCAATAAGAATAACCTATTGATATCTTTATAACACCCCGATTGGAACCTTATTGTATCCTATCTGCATCATTAATCGTCATCAATCAGGATCACCTGATTCTAAAAAAAAAAATAGAGGACTAATCAGGTCAAATCTGGCAATTCAGATTTGACCTGATTGGTCCCCTATTTGTCATCATTCAACTAGTGTCTTCTATACAGTCATACAATTAAAAGAGCTATATTATCTTGCATCATCACGCTCTCTTTCCAAAAATACTATATTATCATTGGGTGGTTCCTTTTTTTTGTAAATTCCTTCTGCTTTCTCATAAATTGACTGGAAATGTTTTCCTTTAGCAAATTCCTGAACGTCTTGTCACTCAACTTCACTAGGTTCTTTCTCACCAATTAATTCCTTCATATATTCTTCATTAAACATCTCAATACTAGATGGTAATCCCTCTCTGTGAGCTTGAGTTGATGGATCAGGACCTGCTTCAGAATCAGGAGTTTAGTTAATCACTTTTGGCTTCTCTTTTGATTAGAAGTCTCAGAGCTTGGGTAACCACTTCTGCTTGTGGTTTAGAAGAATTTGGTCGAACAGAATTGGGTATTAATGATTGAATAAGTTCAGTTAAATTTTAACGACATTGATATTTTCTTTCTCAATGATGTTTAAGTTTCTATAATTTGGGAAAGATTTTCTTACATCTATCATAACTATAATTAACCATTATAATATTACACTTGATATCCCTATAAGAAATTTGTATACAGAATTGTATATGGTAATAATACGTTTTAATATTCGTAAAAAATGTATAAAATATACTGAAATTATGTATAATATGTATGTAATTATTACGTATACAAAATAAGAAAATTGTCAAAATTACGAATATATAAAATTCGTAAATTACATATATTGTATAAGCTATTTCAGTACATTAGATACGTTTTATCTGTAAATATTATACGTTATTTTCAGTACATTTGATACGCTATTTTTCAGTACATTAGATACGTTATTTTTCAGTACATTAAATATGTTATTTTTCAGTACATTAAATATGTTATTTTTCAGTACATTAAATACGTTATTTTTCAGTACATTTGATAGGCTATTTTTCAGTACATTAGATACGTTATTTTTCAATATATTTGATACGTTATTTTTCAGTACATTAGATACGTTATTTTTCAGTACATTTGATATGCTATTTTTTAGTACATTAGATACATTATTTACAGTACATTTGATACGTTATTTTTCAGTACATTAGATATGCTATTTATAATTTTATATTTATTATATACATTTTATTTATATATAAAATTATTATAAAAAAAAATAAAAGAAAATTAATTATAAAAATGGATTTATTCTTTATTAATTTGATATCAAATTTTAAGTATTTAAATTGTTTAATTAAAAAAAAATGTATATTTAATAATTTTATATTATAATAATTATATTAAAT